ATCTCAGGTGTTCCAAGAAGGGTAACAGTAAATAACAGGGTGATCGCAGGTGTCCCCAGAAGGGTAACAGTAAATAACAGGGTGATCTCAGGTGTTCCAAGAAGGGTAAGCAAAACGGTCCAAATAAAGCTGAAGACTGAGCAACAATAACCCCACCAAAAACATCTGTATAGCAGAAGTTATAGGATAATACCCTGCTTAGCTTACCTGGAAAATGTAAATAGTGCTGGAATAGTGGACTAACTAAGTTCATATCTAGTGGTGATCTACATGCAGTCATTACCAATTCTTCTGACTGTCTCCTAATGTCTAGCTGGTAATTCATGAACTATTCCTTACATTGGATCTGTGAAACTTGTCCATTGTTGATAAAAGCATGATCTCTATTTCATAAGCTGAATGCATTTTTGAGTTTGGCAAGATAGATATTTAATGTTTACAAGAGAAATTTTCATGATTATCTCTTGTTATTTGTCAAAACCTTGAACCACTTGTATTTACTTATTTCCTAGAAGTTCAGTAATCCTTTGAATTTCCAATCACATCCTAACAAAATGATCCTTAGATTTTAAATCAAATCCAGGAATACATGATTTCCTTATTCAAAAGTAAGCTTCAAGCTATAGAGTACTCAGAAGAAAATTAATCATATTTAATGATTTACACCATAACAGATTCCAACATAATTATTGACACTTTAAATAATCTTCTTACACAGTTACTAAACTTAGATTTCATCCAATCGGAATACAATTTTTCTGTTCAATTCAATATATATCTGATATATTAAGAATATAATTTGTGACCAATATCCTACTTAGTTAACTTTTTCAGTCCAATTTTTTAAGAATCTTAATTTCATATGTCAGACAAGATTTGTTTTACATTTTTAAATCATAAAAAATGCCTTTTAATCTTGATCTAATTACACAGATATAATCCAATAAACATTATATTTGTTTTAGGCACTTTTGTGACTAACAAACAGCTCATAATAAGTAACTGCCGATCAAATAATAAGCCTTCCCATAAATCTCAAAGTTCTTACAACTTCCTCTTAAAAATACAGAGAATCCAGATAGGAAATAATGTTTTTTTCAAGTTTAAATAGAAAAAAGTTACTCCTTTCTCCGTGAATTTCCCTACTTATTTTCTATTTGTCTACTCATTGCTTTATACTATCCTCACATTAAGAAGTTCTGATGAGTTTTTTTATTCCACCTGTTGATACTACACTTTCAGCTGAGTAATTCTGGCTTTAAATTAATCATTGAACATTAGCTATTGTTGATTTTTTGTCTGGGGTTAGTTGTTTTTGTTTTATTATTGAAGTGTTGACAGAAAATAATGAACGACACCACAGGGTTCTATTAAGCAATCAATTTGTTTCTTAAGATTTAAAATACAATGATTATGAATCAATTCATTTCAAATTCAAATTTCTACGATTCAATTGCATCTAACAGCAAAATTTGACAATAAAAATGAATCATGTGAAAATTACGACAACATTTCCAAATATAGTTTCAACATAATCCTTGACTTTGTTGAATGAAGATTTTTGTTCAAATAATAAAATATTGGCAAATAAGACCTGCAAAAAGCAAGTCAGGATGACCAGATAGGCAAAACTGTCAATCTTTTTCAATTTTCAAACCACAAAATAAATCCATAAAACAACAATGTCTTTATCTTCACAGTAAACATTCCTTGTAAAATATCAATATTTTCATACTGAACTTTTAGATTTTCAAAATTGCACAATTACACTGTCACATAATCCTTTACACTTACAAAGGTGCTTTGGCACACTTCTTTTCATTTCAAAATAAAAGACAGAATTCTGATGCTATCTGCGCAATAAATATTGCTATGCCTTTGCATCCATCTTAATCAGATAGAACCAATTAAAAAAAGACCACTTCTCCACAGAACGAAGATGGAAATGGCTTTTCAAAGTTTGCTTCCAATAATGATCATTCTAGTTCAAAAAGTTCAATCGGCTTTCGCTTTCACTAATAGTACAAAATATTCAATCAGGAGAAAATAATTTCTAACTATTTCCCAAAAGTACATCAAGTATTGAAATAATCTGGTTACATCTATCATGAATTTGCCATCGTAGTTAAGATGATTAAATTGTTGCTATATGAAATCAATCATTTGTGAACATTTTGTAACAACTCGTCATCCTAAGTCATTTATTATTTAACAACAAATCACAAATTAATCTGTCACTTTGATTTTTAGTGCTTTATAAAAGCTATATCTCTCTACTTAATGTTGGTTAAGGAACTAACTTTACTCAGGTATATGAAAACACAACCAATTTTGACAGCTCAGTCCATATACTGTGGATTCATTATCAATTGTGGATTACCAATTTCTTTGATTCATGGATGGAAGTAAACCAAAAATTCAAATGTTCAACGAAGCACACATTATTCTATATGCTTGTATGCAAACTTTGGCAAAACCATGAAATCAAATATCCGTGAAAATACAATTTTTCCCGAGTCCTTGAAAATTGATATCCACGAAAATAAATGAATCTACAGTACTTCAAAAAAATTTCCTTGAATATTTAATAATAAGTGAACTTTTAATGAAAGCTCAAAACTAATAAGTTTTTATTCCATTGTTAAATAAAATTACATAACTTTGATTCCAGTGAAATGAACATTTCAGCAACATACACAGAAGAATTGCATTTAACCCTAATGTACTGAAGAAACAAAATCATTAAAACTAAAATAAAAACTGGTTTTAAGCAATAGAAAATTCAGTGACTAGTATATTCAATGATTCCGTCTCTTTGCATATTGATTACAACAGAATCCTTCTGACCATAACAATAAGTCTATGTAAAATTTTCCTTCATTACTGAACATCTTCCGACATTAAATGATTCCCCTAAAGGTGAAATGGATTATTATGTAAAACGACTGAAGTAAAACCAATGTCACTCAGTACATATTAATTTTAATCACACAGATGCATCAATCTTTTTATTAACGTTAAATCAATTTTTCTAAAATAGTAAAAGAAGAGCTGAACTTAACCTGGATTTAACGGTAGATATTTATATTTATTATACTTCATGTCAAAATGCCTGATTTTGATTGGTTAATACGAGGGAGACAATTTACTCTATCCTATGGTAAATACTCTATTACCCTTCACGGAGACGCTTGATCAAGGGTGCGCTTTATTAAATACGGATGGCTGTTATGTACAAGACGTCATAGTTTATTACTTTGAATTTGAAATTTAATAGACAGTAATAACAGAACATTCAGTATAATTAATTAAATAACACACATCTGAGAGGGTGATAGAGCAGACTGTTACCCCTCGAAAAGACATTGTCAACCTTGGCTTCGCCGCAGTTGACAATGTTTTCTCGGGGTAACAATCTGCTCTATCACCCTCTCAGCTATGTGTTATTTATATAAAGATCCTCGTGAACATCATGCGGAAACTATCAATTTGACCATTTTGAGACAATTCAAGGGGTAGAACTCTTTGCTTTGGACCAAAGGCTGTGGATAGTTATCCTTCATGAATCAAATGGCAGAGCATTGTATGTAGCATGGTTTACTATGGTTGTTTATAGTGGTAACCATAGTTACTCCTGTTTTACCATTACTTTTATTTAATCATATTAAAACAACAATTGCCAATCTAATATAAATTGCATTTCATGATAGTTTAAGAACTTGTTCTAAAGGCAAACTTTTACTATTAAGACAGAGAGGTTCTTTCCAGTGACCTACATTTGCTATCACAAGTTGAAAATAGGTCATCCATCAATTAGAAGATGAATAGTTATTCTGTGGACTTCCAAACTTGTATCATCTAATTACAACAACTAGTTACCTGATCAATATCAAATTGATCACTCGACAAAATACTTTAATTATGGCTGATTACAAAACATTCTATTGTAGAGTCAGGTTAATTGGTTCTCTAGAAATCTACAGTCTCATTTACAATAAATCTATAACCATTCTGGAAGGGAGACAAAAGCTATGGATGTCAGACTTATTGGAGGTATTGTCACTTGAAACATGATTAAAAAGCCACGATGTTACAAACAATTATCAAATGACCTTTGAAATATCTGACATACTATTATACTATCATCATCGTGCTGCAGTAATTGACATCTTTTACTAATGAAAAGAATCACAAAAACTATTTCAGACTTACATACAGGTGTGTATATCAAGAGGAAAAGACGAGCCTGTATCTCATTAAAGTTAACATAAAAGTTTTCCATTTACTTCAATGGTCAAAGACAAATTAAGTTCAGAGTTTGTTCATTTTGAAATGTTCAAATGTGTTGTTTCTCAGATTTACATATATATTCTTTCGTGAATAAAGCCTTAGACAGAATAAAGGTATTTTACAATTCCATGTGTATTCTTAGAGCACAACTAACTTTCTTAAAAGTTGAGTAGCAATTACCAAAAGTCGTATGATCTTACGGAATCATGATTTCTCACAAGTCTACAAACAGGAGAGAATACACTACAAAATGCAAAGAAATGTCAAACTATTTTTAGGAATTGGTCTGTGCAAGAACAACAATTACCCCAAACTGCAAGTGTAAAAGATTCACAGCAGATTTCAAAATCTTTAACTGCTTTTCAGTCTTCACTTTTCACTAAATAGATAATTGTGTAACTATTAACTTAATCTACCCATGTTTTTGTGTGCATATAATTTTAGAATCCTTTTCTGAACAACCCTCATTAAAGCCTGGGTAAACTATTCTAAGAACATTCACAAACCTTTAATTATCAGCTTAAAACCATTGATAACATGATTTGTTTAGTGACTGACAGCAAAATCTTTTGTACCTAATATTCTGACTTTTGCTGCAATGGTCAACTTACATAGAATAGGTCTAGCGAGACAATTCTCAAGTTCTAATGGCCTATGGAAAGTACAATTTATTAAATATATTCTTACTGAAAGAAATTTCTGGCACCTACCTTTTATATTGAGTGTATTGCCACCGAGGAGAAATGATTCACATTCTAGCGGTAATGGAGTTTTAGAAGCTTCGACGTAGATGTTGATGTTGTTGATGTTCAAACCTCTTCTCTCTAAGCTCGTCTGTATGGCAGATCTGTTGTTTATAAAGAAATTCACATTTTCCCCAGTCATTGAATTAGACACTAATGAATTAATATAGATAACTTTCGAATACATGTATACTTTTAATCAAAATGTGTAATATTTTGATCCACTTTTGTCAAATGCAATTAATCAACAAACTGGCAGTCAAATCAATCAATCAATCATCATAAATACCACTGTCCAAGGTTATGGGAGGGTTGGGCACCTTCCAACATGTTTAACATTGTCACATTCTGAATGTGCCTGAACCAAGTCAGGAGCTGTAATTCAGTGGTAAGCCTTTGTTGTTAACTTCTAGATCATTTGGTCTCTGACAGAGAGTTGTCTCATTGGCAATCATCTTCTTATCTTTATATCGAATAATGTTGGAACTACTGCTCTAATAACTGATTAATTATTAGCCATATAAAATACATGTTTTTTTTATCAATTTTTATGAAATCTCTGCAATCGTCCATTTTTTCCAGAATTGAAATGATTACAAACCTCAAACTAACTCCTTTCACAGCAGCCATTATTTCAACATCATTTTCACGATCCAAAAACCTCAGCGTAAAACATTCATCACTAATAACAGTCTACAATATATCAAAACATTGTATAATTATATATTAGTTACCAGTAACTAAATCTATTTATCTGGATACAATCCTAAAACATAGTAAATATTTCAAATTATCATGATTTTTTAAAATTTTATTGCGAATTATAATATTATTGATTGATTGTTGGTTGTGTAACATAATTATAATATTAATATCCATTTATGTATGCAAAAGCAATTTATATCTAAAAAGAAATGAGTATTCAAAGTCAAAATTCTTTGCTTACTTTGACCTTGAAAAAGAGGATGAATGACCTTGAACCTCTATAAAGCAAGTCTTATGACCATGAAATAAATAATATTACGTACCAGAAATATTTTTATTTCACATGTAATAAATTTGGAAAAAATTAAATTTCAATTAAAACTAATGAGACAAATATCTTTTTGTTTTTTAATGAACATTATCAATGCTAGCAGATGAACTAACAGCTAATTTTTGCATGCAATTTATCTATGTGACCTTGGCAAGTATGCAAATGAGGTGAACATTAATTGTTGCAAATAATTAAAACTTGGATCTTATTCTCTTATATCTGATAAATTGCATGAATACTTCAATAAAGTTAGAAAATTAATAGAATTTTTGCTGCAAAGTCAATTAAGAAAGTGTCATGTGCGATAAAAAAAGGTATCCATGGAAATAAAGTTAGTTTACAATTACAATATGCTGAATTGAAAAAGTTACCAGATAAGCTAATATATTTGATTGTATATTACATATCTAAGAACAGAAAATAAAAAGAATATAACACATTAAAAGTAAGAAGTGTTTACAATTACATCAATGTGTAAAAAGAAAGACAGAAAGTGATTCATGCAGTGAAAAAAGCAAGTGAAGCAAAGACACCTTATCACCAGCCAAAACTTTGATGCAAAAAATTAAAATCTGAATTCACCATAAAACAAAATTCCAAAGCTCCATGCCGCATCTTTGATTTAAACACCATATTCAACTTAAAACTTTTTTTTAGCAATCTTAACAGGTGTATACAATTTAATTTCAAAGTATGACTTTTGTCTAAATCTAATTTATAGGACTTATTTGACACAATCCTTCAAAACATTCATCATTGTTCATGTTGTTCTTAACAGAAGTTTTCCCTGTCATACCGCACAGCAAAATGTTACTCTGATGCACATTTCTGGTGATTTGTTGTCACTAGGAACTTTTCTGAGGGTTTGTTGGCTCTAAGACATATCTCCTTTATCGACTTTTATTAATCGGATGTTTATTCTTCATATAAAAAAATCAATATAGTTCATTTCCTTCTGTTTAACCTAGTTTTAACCTGATTATGACCCTTGGGATGCTGTGTTTGTTTTCATTAATTCAGAGGTCCAAATAATCTTATGAATGAATAAAGAATAGTTACAGATTTAAATAATTCACTGAACTACATCTTATTGCATTGCAACTGACCTATGTACTTACTACTCGTTATACAATTGCAGCTTCAAGTCCTTGATAACGGTATGAATCAAAATAAGGATTTTCTAGACTATCTTCCATTGAGCCGAATTCAGAAATAAGTCATAAACATTTTACATCATAAATAAAAATGTTGTGCTAAATTTTTCAGGGAATCAAATTTACTTATATATTTAGTTTCAAATAAACTCATGTACTGATGATAATTTTTGTATATAATAATAACATAATTATAATACTGTTAAAAAGAATCACATGTTAGTATTTGTATCAGGTCATGTCGGAGGGAAGGATTTAAAATATTCATAAACTATTACAAATTGAATATGGTGTGTATAAATCGTAGTTACAAAATTGAACCCCAGTTTGTGCATACTTTATTGCATTGATAGGAGATTGAACTTTATTTTGAATCAATTTATTCTGGAAGTCTTTCTTCAATTACATTTAAAATTTAACAGTAACATAAACAAGCCAGTTTTTTATTTACATTTTATTTATAGCTTTAGATCACATCTCCCTTTATTCTCATGAAAATGTGAAATCTTGCTATAAAGCAATCAGATAAATTAAAGTTGAATGAACTAAGAACTTATGATGTTATGACTGATTCTAGTCATGATAGCTAAAATCAATGATTAAAAGCCAAATAAATGAATAAATTTCGAAAAATAATAATTTAAAGGGTTACAAACATCTAATGAAATTCTAATCCTACAAATTTTCACACAATTTCACTTAAATTTATATATTTATATGATATAAAAGAACATATAAAAAAGTCTCCTGTAAAAAACAATTTTCAGGAATTCATATCAAGGGGAATAACTCAATGTACAAACTGGGTGCAGACAACATAGATATATCTAGTGTACTAAATGGTCTATTTAACACAGATCACCCAAAGCACCTTTGATTGTCTATGTAAAGCTCTTTGACTAACAGAACCGGCGTCTAAATCCTCAGATTTAGGCCGCAGGACTTTCTTCCCATTTCCTTTTGTATATCTGCTAACGTCGTCAGCTAACCCGGGGCTCTGATCACTTTCATCGTCAGAGTAATCAGAAAATGCTTCATAATCATTTTTGATTGGTTGTTCACCCTATATGTGCAGAGGTAAAATGGAAAAGAAATGGGTTAAAATGTGGTTCATGCTAATTGAAGTGCATTTAAAAGGAGCCATCAGAATGACTTTTTGAAAGAGGAAAAAAAAAAAGATTTATTAATGTGCATAGTAATTGCAGATTTCAAAAGTTATAATTTTCAAGCTGTTGTAAATAAAGACAAGAGAATCTTGTGATGTACAGTCAAACCTGTATATAACGGTCAACCTCGGGTCAAGAGAAAAGTTACATTATAAGAGAGGTGATCTTTAAATGAGGTTCAAAATGTATATTCAGACATTGACTTGACAATCAGGTTTTTGTTATAAAGAGCTGACCTTATAGCAGGCTTGACTGTATACTATATGTATTTTTTATTTATGTATATTATTTTTAAATATAAGGCATTTATATTTTATAAACATGATTTGAGGGGGATTCGTTGAAATTTGCTTGATTAACATCCAATGGAAAATATTTCGTGCATATTCAGAACAATGATGATCATTTTAAGCAAATAGATTCAAACCAGAATTTAGAAAGATGATTAAAGTCAATGACTCCAAATTAGTTATTTTACATAATGATCTGGACCCACATGATTTTAAACCAGTGTTTAACACCATACTATTCCAGTTTTTTTTTTACATGATGAGTTGTAGTGATATGATTTCAAAACATTTTTTTTAAAGTTAAAAGTTATATCTTAGTAATAAATGCAATAAATATATCCAAAACAGGATTTTTCTTTAAAAAAAAAAAAATAATTGAATGGACTTTTCCTGAAAGAACAAAAAAACATACAAAAAAAAGGCCAAAGAGAAGGTATATTCTCTTTTATATAAGGAAACCATATACATCCATCTAGATATTTTTTTTTACAATGAATCTTTTCAGGATAAATATATCAGCAAGGCCAGATATATTTTTGCATGGTAAAACACATTATTTTCCAAGTTAAATTGAACAATCATCTTAAATTGTTTTTTTTTGAGAAGTGAATCACTTTGCCAACTTTATCAATTTCTCAACATATCTGCATATTATATTTCCTTTCAGAATATTCAGCCACCATTAAATAGGACCCCTACAATGCCACCAATAAATAGGTCCACTACAATGCCACCAGTAAATAGGTCCACTACAATGTCACAATGGAGAGGGAATACAACTATTTTAATAATTCATAGGTATTCTACTGGAATCACCAAGTTCCCTGTACAATTATATGTAATAAAACTCACGTCTGTATGACGTCTTTTAGACTTGAGAACTTTCTTGCGTTTCAATTTAGCTTCTAAACTGGACGTAGGTGCAGGAGTTTGAAATCTGCAAAAAATGATAACAAAATTACATCTTGTATGCTTGACAACGTTTTACTGAAAAATTCAATGAAATCAATTCAAAATTAAATGTTTGCACTTATTAGTTATAATTTTCAAGATTAACAAATATCTAAGTTAAAGTAAAGCAATCCATATAGATTATCAGGTTTTCTACACATTGATATCCTAAAATATCAGCTTGAGCCACAATGTGAAGCCTTTTTGGTGAGTGAGTATAGCAAACCAGCCAAAAGGCTTCACATTGTGTTGAGCAGCTGATATTTATAGATTATCGATGGTTTTTCAAACAAGAGGGTTTTTCTTAGCTACAACCTCATCGAAGGGCGACAGCCCTGAGATGAGATGTGGCCGAGAAACATCCTAGAGTTTGAAAGACCATTGATAATCTGTTTATCGCTATTTTGCCTATGACGTCATTAATTTTTACATTGACAATGGCACAAGCACTCTTAGTTTCTGACGATAATTTTCTATCTCAAGCGAGTAGCATATGAAAAATTATCACAAAAAAAAGATCAAAGGAAAAATACACAAACTAGCGATAATTAACGATATCTATACATAGAAAGTCCGATAATTTATATAACGTGCTATTTTTTTTCTTTGTCACCTCCCTTAGAGAGTTTCATTTGTAACAAAAGTAAGCTTGATAATATCGCCATATACATTTTGACCCTGCTGATTAGTTCTGCTCAAGTCTCATAGCCGTGATATGGGAATTATAGAGCGACTGAGCAAGATGATATAGGCAAAGGGAAGGAAGACTATCACTAGCCTCCAGATTGCTTACAACAGTACAGATCAGCATTATAAACTTCTAGACCAAATATCAAAACATTCCTTGATACAGATGGTGAGTTATATGTAAGGGCTGTTCCATAAAAACATGCATGGTACCCGGAAAGGCACTTTCATAATGGGGTAACCACCTATAGAGGCAAATTTAGAATTTCAATTACATTTCCACTGTACTTGACACCCAACCATAGCAGAGATTTCAAAGTGCCTTCCCTGTGTCCTATATTTGTTTTTTATGGAACAGCCCTAACCAAAATCAAATGCTCAGTGGGTCAATGAAATTTAAAGAAAGGCCAGACAGGAAAGATGCAAATATCAAATCATTCCATAGAACAGAAGCTGAGAATACAGCTTATTGCTATTTGTTCGCCATTACTGGATATCACAGAGATTCCCATAAAATTTTGACGTCACAAAAGAAAATGTCTGATGCCACAAAGGAAAACTGAATGTTGTCAATAGTTCAAGTGTCACAGAGTCTAAAATAGCGATAAGGTCTTTTATGTTATGAAAGATATGATCAGACAAATGAATGATGGACTTGGGGAATGCTGTATACCACCGACTCTGTGAATATTATTGTTTTTTCTAATCTATCTTTTTGGTTCATTCAAATTAACAAAAAGATCATTTTTTGTTGTTGTTCATGTCATACAATTGACAAACTCTAGTATCTGTATAGAAACACACTCATCCTTCTAGGACCCAAAAATCAAAGATTTAAAGTGCTACTTAGCCGAGTTGAATTTGAATGTATCATCAAGATTTTGAGAATACATTATAAATTTCTGGCTTTATTTAATTAGATCTGTTGATAATATATATTTCTTACTTGTAGGCTTCTGCTCTTTTGTTATACATGCCATCTGTCTGATCACCTTGGTTACCAGTATCTGTTTCTCTGTTCTCATTGTCACTGTTTTCAGTATTTAAGTTTGGCGTAGATTTTCCTCGAGGCAGTGCTCCATTTGCTAATAGAAAAACAAATTTTACATTAAAAAAAATAAATTCGGACAAGTGATGAAAATAGATAATATTATTTCCTTTTTTGTTCACAAAACAACATTTAGACACATATATTGTAAATATTTTGCTAAAACTTCTGTGAGACAATGTTTTAGTTTATGTTCTGTATTGTTTCACATTTAGTTATCTTAAGACTTTTCATAGCTTTTTATATTGTATGGGTTTGTTCATTTTTATTGAGTATCATAGTTCAATAGCAGGTGAGCTGTTCACATCCTTGTCTTTTGCAATAAAACCAAATCTCCTTAGGCATGAGTCTCCGTATTATAAGCTGGCAAACATGTGTACCCCTACCACATTCTGTAAGTAACTGAACAAAGTCATGAGCCTGTAATTCAGTGGTTGTGACTTGTTACTGTAATCATATTTGCTTTTTGTTTGTTGTTTGGTACATAAATCAGGACGTTGGTTTTCTCGCTGATATTAATTTATGTTTTTGTTATGTTGGGGCCTTTCATAGATTGCTATGCGGTATGGGTATTGCTCTTGTTGAAGGCCGCACAGTGGCTTAAAGTTGCTAACATCTCATCATTTGGTCTCTTGTTGCTAGTTGTCTTGTTGGCAATCATACCACACCTCTTTATTTTAAAATGTTTCTTAAAATTGGACAATTTTGAAAAGGTTAACAAATCCTGCACCGCTATTATCATCTGTCATGTTTACTTATATGGTAAGTACAAATTTGAAAATAAATAACTAAAAAAAACAAACCTGTATTATTTTTGCGTTTTGGTGCATCGAAAACAAGATGGCTGCTGTTACCAAGTTCCGATCTAGAATGGATAGATTTATCACAATCTCCACAAAGCAGTAAGGCGGCATTACCGTTAGGCTCAGTACAGTCTGGGTGATGACACACCTAAAAATAACAAGAAAATAAGATGTGATATAAAGCTTCATTACTTTGCTTTTCAAAAAGAAAATGTGCGGTATATATCAATGAGGCAGAAAACCAACAAGAAAAAAAAATCTCAACCTTTTTTAAAATTATCATTACTTTGAAGGTTATCACCTTTGACAAGTAATGGAAAAGGGGATACATGGTGTAAAAATTCATGTTACAAAATCCCAAAATGGACAACAAATTCAATTTATTGTGTACTACCATTACACAATCATAGTGAGGCCTCCAACATAGAGATTAAGCTATTACCTCAGGGCAAGTTCAAGAAGGCTCATAGCACTGGCTTGAGCATAAACCTTTGCTAGATACAGGGCTGTAATTTGTATTGCTAGATACAGGGCTGTAATTTGTATTGCTAGATACAGGGCTGTTATTTGTATTGCTAGATACAGGGCTGTAATTTGTATTGCTAGATACAGGGCTGTAATTTGTATTGCTAGATACAGGGCTGTAATTTGTATTGCTAGATACAGGGCTGTTATTTGTATGGCTAGATACAGGGCTGTTATTTGTATGGCTAGATACAGGGCTGTTATTTGTATGGCTAGATACAGGGCTGTAATTTGTATGGCTAGATACAGGGCTGTAATTTGTATGGCTAGATACAGGGCTGTAATTTGTATTGCTGACATTGTATATTATCATCATCTGAAACTATTTGTGTCACTTTTATTAATTCCAACTTAATCTCCAATGTTAAGAATTCTCAATATAAAATATTGCATTGAAATTATTGTCGTACAGACTTAAATAAACTTTTGTTTACAGATTATTGTTTAGAAGCTGCATCTAAATGAACATATGTTCTTGTGTAACAGTCTAATAATTTTATATCACATTACAGAACAATCAATTTACTACATTTATTTAACAATGATGAAATTTCTATCATAAAAAATCTTCATAACCATACAATACTAACGGCTTCAAGGTACATAAAATGTAATGATAAAATATATTTATGGCTTCAAATATCAGAGACCATGATATAAAGTTAAAGTTCAAACAGAAAATATTACCACTTTTCAATTTACTGAAAAATTGTCCTTTATAAAAACTCCATATAAAGCCAAGCTGTTCTCCCTGGGTGTTTTATTACCTTTATTCATATAAATTTATATTGAATTTGTTACATTATAAAATTATTTTTTGTTTTAAGACAACATGCAAGATATTCGTCATAGTTTAGGTATGCATAAAAAGAGATGTGGCAGTAGTCCATACAACAACACACAAAAATATATTAGGTATTTCAAAAACACTATTAAAACAAAAATTTCACCTCCTTGATCTAGAGGTCTGAAGAAAACACCTATTCAATCTTGATTCAAAAGACAGGTAAAAATACCAAAAATATATATAGTTCTATAAACTGTGTTACAGTGTACCTTTTTTTTACATTCAAACAATAGTTAGAGTAATATATTTATACCTTGTTGAGGTGTGCTCTGATCATAATGTTTCATTGTTTTACCGAAAACAAAATAACAATGTATCCTTAGAGTTCAATCTTCCTTGTCTAATTTTATAAGAAGATATACAATCCTATTAAGACTTAATGATAAAAGTTATATAAATCAATGTACAGTTCATTTCCTAGAGAAATAAACTTTCAGGATTCAAAGTTTATTTGTGTTAGGAAGCTAAGTAATTTCCATTTTAGTTATAAAAAGATTCTGAATCCAAACTGACAGGGGAGTTTTTAAATTATTTAAGTCTTATATTCTTGAAGATTACTTTCAGTCATTATATAATTAGTGTACAATATTGATGTGTGGTATGGTTGTCAATATGACAGTATCTATCAAACACCATAGGATGAAAAAGCAAACAATTTCTCACCTGAAATTCAAGTTTAAAAATAAAGTCTTCCGCTTTTAACTAACAATTTGTTTTCAGCTAAATAGTCCATGAATTATGTGCACTATTTCATTAAAGAAACATTTATATGAATTTAAAGAATGAAAGGACAGATCATATGAGTGTCGAATCCTAAGCTTAGTTCTTTTGGTTTATTCACACATTTGATTGATTATTGTTGTTTAACAGCACTCTTGGCCATTGTTTAATGGTGGAGGAAGCCAGTCTACATTAACAGAGAACCACAGACCTTCAGCAGATAAACTGGCAATCCTAGTCAATAAAAATAGAGTCAAATGCTCCGTGCCACGAAGGGGGATAGATAGAAGTAATTATCATTTCAGAACTATTTTCCATTGGACATCAATCTCATTCTTACCATGATTTGATAGCTATGTTTAACAGGACATTCTATCTTGTCTTGACCATCATGCTGTGGAATATCAATCTCTTTCACAGTAACCTCCCATTCACAAACCTCTCCTGCTCCTGGTGTCTCTAAAACATCACAACTTATAGACTTTCTGATTGGTACTGAATCTATCATGAATCTGACCTTTTTCCCAGAATTTGATCCTTTACCATCTTTTATAATTGGACTCAGTGAATTAATACTGTTACTTTTTGTTAAAACTTCCAAACTGTTTTTGTTTGTATCTTCAAATAAAGTTGTTGTACTGAAACTTTTAAAATTTTCCTGAAAATTTTCTGACTTCGAAAAATTATCTAACACGTCAAGTTTTTCCGTGCTCATGTGTATACACTGTTTGTCATAACCATTATTGTTACAAATTGTCTGATCAGTACTTTTCTTTTTCTCATAATCTAATATCAGATTTTTTACTTTGAATTTTCTGACAGAAAAAGTCTCAGACTCTTCATCATCAGAGAAAATAACTGATTTAATCTCCTCATTTATGTCACCATTGGTAACAGAGTTACCATTAACATCTTCATCAAATTCTTCGTTTTCAATGATGTCATCCAATGATGCCATCACATGATCAACTTCAAGGTTTTCCTTGTCACTTTCCTTCTCATGGTCGCTATCACATGGATCAGAGGACAAAATTCCATTTGAAGAGTCAGTATGTTCCCCGTTATTTATTTCCTCTGTAGGAACGACCTGACAAGGAGAACCTGGAAATCCACTGTCAGGAGATGATACTGGACTTACAATATTTTTCTCACTACTTGTAGACTTAAATGGACTTTTACGTCTTGGCCAAGAAAATCCATAGTCAGCAAGAATTGGCATGAAGAATGGCACAGGTGAAGTTGGTCTGCTATTAGATTTCTTTGGAGATTCATAATCTGCATCGTAATCATATTTATAAACATCACCTGCAGAGTGGACAGTATGCAGTTTCTTCTTTTTCCCTGACTTCTCATTCTTAATCTCTGGAGCTGAGATTTGTCTGTTTATATTTTTGGCTTTTTGTTTCTTTTTCCGTGGCATAATTACGGTAAGTATCTTTTATACCCACAGTCAAAATATTTACAACTTACAATCCTTTTTACGATTAGTGTCCTGATTTATTTTTTAATCCTTCAGTGAACAAATCACAAGAAAGATTAAAAAGTTACGAAATATTTTCCATATTAATCTCCAGCTGTCAAAATGATTTAGTTCATATCCTTTTAATCAAAACATATCATGCTAAATCATTTCACAACTAAGTCAAATTTCAATAATGAAGAGTTGGTTTACAAATCCTAATTATTGGGTGGTCATTTACAAAAGATTTAAATCTTCACAGGTCAAACTTGTAAAAATGTCCACAAACTCCCGAACAAAAGACCTCTTCACAAATAATTTACTGTGAATTCATATCTTTGTTGAAATTGATGATTGGTGACAATCTCCCAATTATCAATCGACTGCCACTTTCTTTAAACACAGCTTAATCCAGATTTCAAATAGGTTTTCTACATATGTTTGCAAAATTTACTTAGCAAACACTGAAGCACTTCTTATAGTGTGGTATGTTGAAATATTTGAAATCAATCACATTTCTAAGAATTAAAGGTCTTCCATACATGTATTCTTAAGTTCATAAAAAGAATTCCTTAAAGTGCAATATGGTTTGACTCTTTATGCAAGGTCCTGTTTTATTATGAGAAATAATTACATGTGACTAAAATGTCTTAAAAGTTTGTTTAAACTCAATTTCATGAATCAGTTTAGGTAAAGGTAAAAATCACTCCAACAATATGCACAGTCTATTCAAATTCCAGCAAAGATAACACTACGCACTGTCTATTAAAGATGTCTGGAAAAACCTCAGAATATTAAGTAATCAATATTTCTTCAATAATTTAAGATATTTTGTATCCAAAAAATTATTTGTTTCCATACAACTTTTGCTTCTTATAATGTTGAATTTCAGAGATCAATTAAACCAACAGAACCCTTCTTTGAGAGAATCAATTATCTATCATGCTCCTAATTGAGGAATTGATTGATATATACATTATTGAACTGTTTAATTTTCCTTCAGTTAGACAATGATATGTTATGGAATGTCTAAGTCTTTACGTGGAATCTAACACCACACTTTATCAATACTGATCAAATGTTTCTAGCATTGCGAAACAATTGAATGATAGGGTTTTAGTTGGACACTTAACGAGATAAAACACCTGTATTTCCCAGTAACAATAAAGCTATGATCTCTCCAGCGTTTGATCTTGATCAATTGAATTCTTTTTTCTTCAATGCATCTATTGGTTAACAATGTCCTTGTGTATTCAAACCTCTCAAAACAACTTGCAACAATCGTTTGTTTGTTTGTTTGTCTACGTTTATTCCCTTTTATCTCAGTCTTTATTTAGATTTTGACACTGAATTTGAAACCAATGTAAAATCTTATCCTTTTACTGAATGCACTATTTCTTATAATATCACCATATGCAAGTTTCTTGAATTATGTCAATTCTATAAATAATTCAAATTTCTGTGCATTTTTTGTCTCCTTCAGGAAAATATTTACAAATACTATATATTCTATGCAACAGCAAATTTCTATGCAACAAATTATTTTCCTGTTAAAGAATTTAGGTAAAGTTTCAACTATGTCAAAACATCATCACTTAAGGATTACTGTACACCTGAATGATAAAATCCATACAACTCAATGTTTACCAGGATATAAAAAAGGAAGTATTAATTGTTAACAAGAAACAAAATGTTTAAATCAGTCTCTGTTGTTTTACTTTTAAAAACTGTTATTCAACGCATCTGTCAAAATCTGAACAAACATACTTGTCAGACAAAAAAATCAGTAATCCATTTTTAAACAAATTCTTGAAATCCAATAAACTACAACTCCATGGTACAAAGCGTAACTATTTGTTCAAAATATAATTAAATCGTTCACAGATGTCATATCTTTCGTGTAATTTTCCATAAATCCATTGATAAAATATGAAATAGATCTATAAACCATTCAAATCATTTCAGCTTCGAAAAAAAAGTACTGCTGACAAATTTTCATCTTGGACGAAATTAACAGTTCAAATTGTTTTGATGTCAATTAATCTGAAATGGTAATAAATTAATGAAAAGGTAACATCTCTGATGAAAACTTGATGAAAAATGATGCACCTGTACTTCAATAAACATATCACTAATCGTATCCAACTCATACAATTACACTTTATAAAGCTCTGAATAGGATAAATCAAGAGAGGTTCCACATGAGTAATAGCTGCTCAAAAGAGCTTTTGAAAGTACAACAAAGCATGAAAATCCTTCCGTTTCACGCTGCTTTACAATGATTCAACCAGCTAATCAAACCTGTTTTTCACCTAATAATGAAAGAAGAAATACTTTATTGTTATTTATAATCCTCCATCTATTCTCTTTTGTCCAGGTTGATCATAATCCCTAATACCCACGGACTAATGAGGTGGCCAATGAACTAAGTTTTTTCTCAAGTGTTAATTCAACAACAAAACATTTGTTTATATTGTTGATATAAGATAAATATTTAGAATCAAAATGATGACGAACAATGGACGAAAATTTGCTTATGTTATGTTTAAATTTATGATAAATTTTATGGTTAAATATTTGTCCCGTAAATGACCTATTGAAAAACGTCTATAAAAACCTACTTAGGAAGCAACACCCTGCCATAATAATGATTATATATAGGTTCTAATTCAAGTTTGCAGGGCGAGACATTAAATTTGATATTTTATGCATTGTGAATCATTTGATAGAGATATAAAAACATTGAAGTAGCAACTGTTTGTTGTTTGTCTGTTTGTTTGCTTGAAACCACTTTTTGCCTACATTTATATCATTTCATGGCAGTCAGTTGGAGGAGAAAACTTGAGTAACAAGGGTAAACTGTTGAAGATTAGATGATTTTCATATCATTCACTTGTTTTGTCAATTAACATGACTATTGTATATAACATGTAGTAGGTAAATGAAGGCACATTTATAAACTATTTCAATAATTTTACACATAGATCATGAGCTAAAAAGTTCAAGATAAAAAAAAACTTTAAAAATTTTATTTCACTGTAAAAGCCTTTCTCAATTTTCTACAGAGATATATTAATTGCTTCACATAATGTATACAGTTAGCTTTTTGAGTTTTTATTTATGAACCATACTTAACCAAACATCAAAGCTTTCTTGTAAACTTAACAACAACTACATAAATATGGAGACTTCATAACACAAGATAACATACGGATCATAAAATATATCCATCAACAGCACCTCACACACCCCTTAATTTGTTCCTTCATAAATTTCAATCGAATTAGCATAAATTTAAACTTTAATAAATAAATTTTCAAACAGCATTCACGCAACTCTTTTTCATAGCCATGCATATTAAATTTCCTATTTTTATAAATAAAAAACTTGAAAGTCCGTGTCTCAAACAGCTCAAATTTCCTCTAAAATTATAATTTTTTAAAACTCTGTTAACAAAATGTTCAATGTTTTGACAATTAATGCTTTGGACCATGTCACAAACATATATTTTTATAATCAATATGCCATGAGTATCCCCAAAAATAAATTTTGTCCTCAATCCATGTAACTTTGTTCCAAAAAAAAATAAATGGATCTACAGTGTAGTGATTTCAGACATAAAGAATGTAGATTTAGTGTTTTGACACATCATGTTCTAACTGTAGTGTTTGCACAAAGTATGAACATGTGCAAGGTGTTTTGACATATTAAGTCTGAAGCTGCAGTGTTTTAACAGAGCAATATTGTAGCTTTGGTGTTTTGACAACAACAATATGTAGCTTATATCCTGCTGACACATGATGTATGTCACTTTGGTGTTTTGACACAGTTTGGTTGAAGCAACATGTTTTGATACATTATGTATGTCACAGGTGGTCTTTTGACACAGTATGGTTGAAGCTACAGGGTTTTGAAACATCATGTATGTCACTGTCGTGTTTTAACAAATCATAGTTGTAGCTAAATCTTTTGACACAACATGTATGTCACTGTGGCGTTTTGACACAGTATGGTTGTAGCATCATGTTTTGACACATTATGTATGTAACAGGTGTTCTTTTGACAAAGCCTGGTTGTAGCTACAGGGTTTTGAATGTATGTCACTGTGATATTTTGACACATTGAAGCATGACTGTAGCTAGTGTTTTGACACATCATGTATGCTGCTGTGACATAGCATGGTTATAAGCTTCAATGTTTTGACACAGTAGGGTCGTAGCTGCAGTGCTTTGACACAGCATCGCTGTAGCTAGTGTTTTGACACATCATGTATGCCGCTGTGTCATAGCATGGTTATAGCTTCAATGTTTTGACACAGTAGGGTCATAGCTACTGTGCTTTGACACAGCATGGCTGTAGCTAGTGTTTTGACACATCATGTATGCCGCTGTGACATAGCATAGTTAGCTACAATGTTTTGACATAGTAGGGTTGTAGCTACAGTGCTTTGACACAGCATGGCTGTAGCTAGTGTTTTGACACATCTTGTATGCCACTGTGACACATCATGGTTATAGCTACAATGTTTTGACACAGTAGGGTCATAGCTACAGTGCTTTGAAACAACATGGTTGTAGCTGCATTGTTTTGTAGCTGTATTTTTGTAACACCATGCATGCAGTTATGTTATTTGTACACAACCAGTATGTAGCTTTAGTGTTTAAGAACAGCATGTATTTACTTTCTAGTGTTGTGAAAAGTTTAGAAAAAACTTATTCTTAGTTGTAGAAGAGAGAATTGCAGATTGCTATGGTAAAAATATCTTATTTTCAGTTAAAATCATATATGCTTCTCTTTTCTTTCTATTTAATAAACATTTAATAATAATATTCATCTACATCTTAGCATTGTTTATCAAGGTCACTCCAAACAGATTTGTACCACAGGATGGGTTTTTTAATTGGACATTTAATCTGTAGGGGTCTATTGTCCACTGTTATTGACCAGCTGACCAGAAAATAGCCTGGATAGTAGTGTAGAATTACTCACCTTCTGATGTGATCATTTATCAATGTGTAAATCTGCTTGTTTAGAAATAGGAGCCCTCTGTTATTAAACAGTAGTGTGGATAAATAAGAGGATGAAAACAAAATTTAATCAAATTTTAAATCGTCTTGTTTACACAAAGAGGTGAGAGTTTCCATGCCAATTACTAAATAGTAATCCTTGGTAAACTTTGTCAAACAAAGAATTGTCCATATTAGATAATTAAAACTGTTTGTGACAATGATGTCATCCTCTTGTCCATGTAAAAAGTTAAATCACAAAAATACTGAACTCCGAGGAAAATTCAAAACGGAAAGTCCCTAATCAAATGGCAAAATCAAAAGCACAAACACATCAAATGAATGGACAACAACTGTCATGTCCCTGACTTGGAACAGGCATAAACACTACATAGGTGCTGTCTTAACTTCGCTGTAGAATTTCTCAAAGGGTATATATATAAAGAGTGGAGTTGAACTGTCCTTTTTTATTTACTTCAATGATATAAAAATTTACAAAGTTGTTGGCCATGTTATAATAAAAAAGAGGGGGGAAATTCCAAGCGAACATTCAAAACTCATCAGTCAAAGAGAAACTGACAATGCCATAACAAAAGACAGCACAGTTATAAGTGTTTGTAGCACAGATCTTTCCTGTTGCATCTATATATTTTAAAGTTTATTGAATATCTTATCTAAAACCTGCAACTAATAAGTTCTCTAGTCCACCTTAACCTTTTCAGTACATAAATTAAACAGAAATATGTAGCACTAAAGTACACCACTGTACTTTACATTTTATGCAAATGCAGTGAGCAGAAAAATGAGTTAATTTTCTTATTCTCATAATGTAGTGTCACCAACTCTAATACACACAAGTTCACAAGACATTATCTAATTTCAGAACAAATATGTTATTTCTGCCCTAGCTATGCTATTAACCCTCGATCTGTCAACATGGGAGATAACTCAAGTATGTAAAATTGACATAAAAATAAATCATTCTGAAAATAAATTTATACACAGCAGGTTTTGTTATATTACCCTATTAGCACATAGATCAAAATACCGTAAAATTTATATAACTAATTCTTTTAAAAGTTTAAAATCTTTAGTATGATTGATCTCGCAACAACTTGTGAAAAAAATTAAACATTGCAAATATAGAGAAAAACGTTTTATCTTTTGATGTTTAACTACACATAGTTTTTTCCCTTACATACAGGCACCAGTAGTCTGTTATATTTGTTGTCAACATTATTCAACTCACAGATTTTGTAATAAATGTAGATTTTATCAAAAGACGTAAATGTTCAGATTCAAATTTTGTACTTCCTCAGAAGGGTGCAAAAGGTTTTTCTTTGAAATATCTTCATAAATCATATTTGTAAGAACAAGATAAAAAAGATGAACAAGATATATATGAAGATTGAGTCAAAAATATTTAAAATTTTATTTTAATATATTCAAATGGGAGAAAAAACCCATCTAATTTCAATTTTAGACTAAATCTTTTGACACGGTAAATAAATCTTCACCTTAACAATGTTTGATCCTCCAACCGTATCAATCTCCCTCTCTGATTTCAATCAAACAAAACTAAGTTAAAGTGTTCATAATTATTTTTGATGATCTTCTGACAAGATAATCTCTAAATCATTTGTCAATGAATTATATTCATCAATGAAACACTAAGAACCTAACACAGGCACGAGTGGAAACCAGGAAATGTCTGGCACCCGAGGGTAAGATTTCCAATCTCTGATGAGCCTTGTCCTCAGGAAATGTCTGGTACCCGAGAGCAAAATTCCAATCTGTTATAAGGCTTGTCCTCGGGAAATGTCTAGCACCCGAGGGTATGATTTCCAATCTATGATGAGGCTTATCCTTAGGAAATGTCTGGTACCCGAGAGTATAATTTCCAATCTATGATGAAGCTTGTCCCCAGGAAATGTCTGGAACAAGAAAGGCATGATTTTCAATCTCTGATGAGGCTTATCCTCAGGAAATGTCTGGCACCCAAGGGAAAAATTGCCAATCTCTGAAGAGATGTTTCCTCAGGAAATGTCTGGCACCTGACAATAAGATTTTCAATATCTGATGAGGCTTGTCGTCAGGAAATGTCTGGCACCTA